GAAGGAGAAATAAAATCCTTTACAGATAAGCAAATGCTTAGAGATTTTGTCACCACTAGGCCTGCCTTACAAGAGACCCTGAAGGAAACACTCAACATGGAAAGGAACAACCGGTACCAGCCATTGCAAAAACATGCCAAAATGTAAAGACCATCGAGGCTAGGAAGAAACTGCATCAACTAACGAGCAAAATAACCAGTTAATATCATAATGGCAGGATCAAGTTCACACATAACAATATTAACCTTAAATGTAAATGGACTAAATGCTCCAATTAAAAGACACAGACTGGCAAACTGGATAAAGAGTCAAGACCCATCAGTCTGCTGTATTCAGGAGACCCATCTCACACGCAGAGACATACATAGGCTCAAAATAAAGGGATGGAGGAAGATTTACCAAGTAAATGGAGAACAAAAAAAAGCGGGGGTTGCAATCCTAGTCTCTGATAAAACAGACTTTAAACCATCAAAGATCAAAAGAGACAAAGAAGGCCATTACATAATGGTAAAGGGATCAATTCAACAGGAAGAGCTAACTATCCTAAATATATATGCACCCAATACAGGAGCCCCCAAATTCATAAAGCAAGTCCTTAGAGACTTACAAAGAGACTTAGACTCCCATACAATAATAATGGGAGACTTCAACACTCCACTGTCAACATTAGACAGATCAACGAGACAGAAAGTTAACAAGGATATCCAGGAATTGAACTCATCTCTGCAGCAAGCAGACCTCATAGACATCTATAGAACTCTCCACCCCAAATCAACAGAATATACATTCTTCACAGCACCACATCGTACTTACTCCAAAATCGACCACATAATTGGAAGTAAAGCACTCCTCAGCAAATGTACAAGAACAGAAATTATAACAAACTGTCTCTCAGACCACAGTGCAATCAAACTAGAACTCAGGACTAAGAAACTCAATCAAAACCGCTCAACTACATGGAAACTAAACAACCTGCTCCTGAATGACTACTGGGTACATAACGAAATGAAGGCAGAAATAAAGATGTTCTTTGAAACCAATGAGAACAAAGATACAACATACCAGAATCTCTGGGACACATTTAAAGCAGTGTGTAGAGGAAAATTTATAGCACTAAATGCCCACAAGAGAAAGCAGGAAAGATCTAAAATTGACACTCTAACATCGCAATTAAAAGAACTAGAGAAGCAAGAGCAAACACATTCGAAAGCTAGCAGAAGGCTAGAAATAACTAAGATCAGAGCAGAACTGAAGGAGATAGAGACACAAAAAACTCTCCAAAAAATCAATGAATCCAGGAGTTGGTTTTTTGAAAAGATCAACAAAATTGACAGACCACCAACAAGACTAATAAAGAAGAAAAGGGAGAAGAATCAAATCGACGCAATTAAAAATGATAAAGGGGATATCACCACCGACCCCACAGAAATACAAACTACCATCACAGAATACTATAAACACCTCTACGCAAATAAACTGGAAAATCTAGAAGAAATGGATACTTTCCTGGACACTTACACTCTTCCAAGACTAAACCAGGAAGAAGTTGAATCCCTGAATAGACCAATAGCAGGCTCTGAAATTGAGGCAATAATTAATAGCCTACCAACCAAAAAAAGTCCAGGACCAGATGGATTCACAGCTGAATTCTACCAGAGGTACAAGAAGGAGTTGGTACCATTCCTTCTGAAACTATTCCTATCAATAGAAAAAGAGGGAATCCTCCCTAACTCATTTTATGAGGCCAACATCATCCTGATAGCAAAGCCTGGCAGAGACACAACAAAAAAAGAGAATTTTAGACCAATATCCCTGATGAACATCGATGCAAAAATCCTCAATAAAATACTGACAAACCGGATTCAGCAACACATCAAAAAGCTTATCCACCATGATCAAGTGGGATTCATCTCTGGGATGCAAGGCTGGTTCAACATTCGCAAATCAATAAACATAATCCAGCATATAAACAGAACCAAAGACAAGAACCACATGATTATCTCAATAGATGCAGAAAAGGCTTTTGACAAAATTCAACAGCGCTTCATGCTAAAAACGCTCAATAAATTCGGTATTGATGGAACGTACCTCAAAATAATAACAGCTATTTATGAAAAACCCACAGCCAATATCATACTGAATGGGCAAAAACTGGAAAAATTCCCTTTGAAAACTGGCACAGGACAGGGATGCCCTCTCTCACCACTCCTATTCAACATAGTGTTGGAAGTTCTGGCTAGGGCAATTAGGCAAGAGAAAGAAATCAAGGGTATTCAGTTAGGAAAAGAAGAAGTCAAACTGTCCCTGTTTGCAGATGACATGATTGTATATTTAGAAAACCCCATTGTCTCAGCCCAAAATCTCCTTAAGCTGATAAGCAACTTCAGCAAAGTCTCAGGATACAAAATTAATGTGCAAAAATCACAAGCATTCTTATACACCAGTAACAGACAAACAGAGAGCCAAATCAGGAATGAACTTCCATTCACAATTGCTTCAAAGAGAATAAAATACCTAGGAATCCAACTTACAAGGGATGTAAAGGACCTCTTCAAGGAGAACTACAAACCACTGCTCAGTGAAATAAAAGAGGACACAAACAAATGGAAGAACATACCATGATCATGGATAGGAAGAATCAATATCGTGAAAATGGCCATACTGCCCAAGGTTATTTATAGATTCAATGCCATCCCCATCAAGCTACCAATGAGTTTCTTCACAGAATTGGAAAAAACTGCTTTAAAGTTCATATGGAACCACAAAAGAGCCCGCATTGCCAAGACAATCCTAAGTCAAAAGAACAAAGCTGGAGGCATCACGCTCCCTGACCTCAAACTATACTACAAGGCTACAGTAACCAAAACAGCATGGTACTGGTACCAAAACAGAGATATAGACCAATGGAACAGAACAGAGTCCTCAGAAATAATACCACACATCTATAATCATCTGATCTTTGACAAACCTGAGAGAAACAAGAAATGGGGAAAGGATTCCCTATTTAATAAATGGTGCTGGGAAAATTGGCTAGCCATAAGTAGAAAGCTGAAACTGGATCCTTTCCTTACTCCTTATACAAAAACTAATTCAAGATGGATTAGAGACTTAAATGTTAGACCTAATACCATAAAAATCCTAGAGGAAAACCTAGGTAGTACCATTCAGGACATAGGCATGGGCAAAGACTTCATGTCTAAAACACCAAAAGCAACGGCAGCAAAAGCCAAAATTGACAAATGGGATCTCATTAAACTAAAGAGCTTCTGCACAGCAAAAGAAACTACCATCAGAGTGAACAGGCAACCTACAGAATGGGAGAAAATTTTTGCAATCTACTCATCTGACAAAGGGCTAATATCCAGAACCTACAAAGAACTCAAACAAATTTACAAGAAAAAAACAAACAACCCCATCAAAAAATGGGCAAAGGATATGAACAGACATTTCTCAAAAGAAGACATTCATACAGCCAACAGACACATGAAAAAATGCTCATCATCACTGGCCATCAGAGAAATGCAAATCAAAAGCACAATGAGATACCATCTCACACCAGTTAGAATGGCAATCATTAAAAAGTCAGGAAACAACAGGTGCTGGAGAGGATGTGGAGAAATAGGAACACTTTTACACTGTTGGTGGGATTGTAAACTAGTTCAACCATTATGGAAAACAGTATGGCGATTCCTCAAGGATCTAGAACTAGATGTACCATATGACCCAGCCATCCCATTACTGGGTATATACCCAAAGGATTATAAATTATGCTGCTATAAAGACACATGCACACGTATGTTTATTGCGGCACTATTCACAATAGCAAAGACTTGGAATCAACCCAAATGTCCATCAGTGACAGATTGGATTAAGAAAATGTGGCACATATACACCATGGAATACTATGCAGCCATCAAAAAGGATGAGTTTGCGTCCTTTGTAGGGACATGGATGCAGCTGGAAACCATCATTCTTAGCAAACTATCACAAGAACAGAAAACCAAACACCGCATGTTCTCACTCATAGGTGGGAACTGAACAATAAGATCACTTGGACTCGGGAAGGGGAACATCACACACAGGGGCCTATCATGGGGAGGGGGGAGGCGGGAGGGATTGCATTGGGAGTTATACCTGATGTAGATGATGAGTTGATGGGTGCAGCACACCAACATGGCACAAGTATACATATGTAACAAACCTGCACGTTATGCACATGTACCCTACAACTTAAAGTATAATAATAATAAATAAATTTTTAAAAAAAAGAATTATTTCTTTAGCTTACCTCTCTCCTATGATTTTACTATAAGCAGGAAAAAGAAGCCAGACAATCACCATTTTCTGCTTTTCACATTACCACAGGTGATAAGGTGGCCAAACTTCATGTCATTACCTAACAATGATCCTCTTTCCTCCAGCTCTAATGATATTTTTTCACTCTCCTCTAAATCCTCTCTGACAGCCTCTTTGAGGTCCATCAGGCTTCCATAGTCACCTCAAGGTCCTCTCACCTGTCCTCTGTCTAGTCCTGTCTAATTCTGTCTAGTCTAGCTTCAGCCACTACCACATTTTAGATTTGTTACATGGCACTCCACTTCCAGATAGCAAAATCTGTTTTTATGATTGCATAACAAGTTCCTCCAAAATTTAGTGGCTTAAAACAACAATATTTATTTTTGTCAGGTATTTGCAATTTGGATAGTGTTCTGTGAGAATAATTCCTTTCTTTGCTCCACTCAGCATCGACTGGGGAAGCTTGAAGGCTGGGGACTAGAATCATCTGAAGGTTCATGCATATACCTGGTGGTTGAGTCTGGCTATTAGTTGAAACCTTAGCTGGGGCTATAACCTGGAACATCTTCACTGGCCCCTCCATGTGGCCTGAGATTCCTCAAAATTTCTAACAAGTCATGAAGTCACAGAGTGTTAATTCTTCAGCACTCAACTCACAGAAGCAAAGTCCAGTTCAAATTCAAGAGAACAGAAATGGATTCTACCTCCTGATGCAGTGAAGTGGCAAAGTTCTAGAAGATCATCAAGGGCTGGAAATACTGCTGTGGTCATTCCAAAGAAATGCAATCTATAAAACAAAGAAAGATGCAGCAACCTTAAACAAAGTACAACTAAATAGAACCTAGCAACTTATCAAATGAATACTACCATATGACCAAGTAGAGTGTACTCTAGGAATATAAATTACTTCAACACCAGGAACTACAGAAGTATAAATCATTAACTACATCAATGAATTGGAAAATTGAAAAATATATCATAAACGAGATCATACACAAATGATAGATTTGGAAGAAAAGTATTAGGAACATACATGACAAATGATTAATATCTGTAACATATGAAGAATTCTTACCTTTCACAAGAAAAATATACAAGTCAATAGAAAATTAGGCAATGAATATAAATAGGCAATTTATTCTAAAGCAAATACAAAAAAGAAAACATGAAAAGACCAAAGACTGGGGGAAAGGACAAGATGGCATAATAGAATTATGTACCAACCATCCCCCCAACAGGAACACCAAATTTAACACTTATTTACACACAAAAAAAGTACATTCATAAGAAGCAAAAATCAGGTGAGCACTCACAGTACTTGGTTTTCACTTCATATTACTGAAAGACACCATAAAGTGTAGGAAAGACAGTCTTGAATTGCCAACACCACACCTCCCCCATCCCTGCCCCCATCCTCCAGCAGCAGTTGCATGGCACAGAGAATCTGTGCACTCGAAGAAGGAGGATGCAGCTATTGTGAGACATTGCATTGAACTTAGTGCTATTCTGTCATAGAAGAAAGCAGAACCAGTCTGTACTTAGCTGAAGCCCGCCCACAGAGGGAGCACTTGGACCAGCCATAGCCAGAGGGCAATCACCCATCTCAGAGGTCAGAATTTGAGTTCAGGCAAGTCTCGCCACGGCGGGCTGGAGTGCTCTGGGGCTCTAAATAAACTTGAAAGTCAGTCTTGGCCACAATGACAGCAATTCCTAAGCAAGTCCTACTGCTGAACTGGGCTCAGAGGCAGAGGACTGGGGTGGGTGGGGCATGTAACCGATTGAGACACCAGCCAAGGCAGCTAAGGGAGTGCTTGCAATACTCCCCCAGATAAAGGCTGCACAGCTCACAGCTCCAAAAGAGACTTTCCTTTTGGGGAGGGAAGCGGAGGGGAGAATACAGACGACTTTGTCTTGCATCTAGAATACTAGCCCAGCCACCACAGTATAGGGCACAGTCATAAGGGCCCCTTTCCAGGCCCTAGCTCCCAAATGACATTCCTAGACACACCCTGGGCCAGAAGAAAACCTGCTGCCTTGAAGGGAAGGAACCAGTTTTGGCAGGAACCCATCACCTGCTGACTAAAGAGCACTTGGGCCCTGAGTAACCAGCAGCAATACCCAGGTAGTATGCTGCGGGCCATAGGAGAGACACTAAGATGTGCTGGCTTTAGGTAAGACACAGCACATTCCCAGCTGTGGTGACTAAGGGGAGAGACTCCATCTGCTTGAGAAAAGCACAGAAAAGTAAAGAGAACTTTGTCATGCATCTTACATACCAGCTTGGCCACAGGGGAGTAGAGCATCAGAAGGGCTCTTGGGGTCCCTGATTCCAGGCCTTGGCTCTTGGACGGTATTTCTGGACCCACCCTGGGCCAGAGGGGAGCCCAGCACCCTGAAGTATGAGTCTCAGACCTGGCAACATTCACCACAAGCTAACTGAAGGGCCCTTGGGCCTTAAGTGAACATCAGTGGAAGCCTGGCAGCACTCCTCATAGGCATGTGGTGGTGGTGTCCACAGGGTAAGGATCCTTTGCCTGTGGAAAGGGGAGGGAAGAGTGGGAAGGCCTGCATCTCATGATCTGAGTGTCAGCTCAGCAGCAGTACAACAGAACACCAGGTAGATGTCTAAGGTTTTTTACTGCAGTACATGGCTCATGGATGACATCTCTGGACCCACCCGGGGTCTGGGGGAACTTGCCACCCTAAAGGAAAGGACACAAGTCTGTCCCACTTTATCGCCTGCTGACTGTATAGCCCTAGGGCCTTGAGCAAACATAGGTGGTACCAAAGTAGTGGTTACTGCAGGCCTTGGGCAAGACTTAGTGCTGTGCTGGCTTCAGGTCTGACCCAGTGCAGTCTCAGTGGTGGTGGTCACAGGGGTGCTTGTGTCACTCCCATCCCCAGCCCCAGGTGGTTCATCACAGAGAGAAACCACTTTTGTTTGGGAGAAAATAAAGGAAGAGAACAAGAGTCTGTGCCTGGTAATCTAGAGAAATGTCCTGGATCTTATCCGAGACCACCAAAGTAGTACCTATACAAGTCTACCAGAACCACAGCATTATTGGCCTTGGGGTGCCCCCTAATGGAGATACAGCTTACATCACAACATCCAAGTCATTTTGAATACCTGGAAAGCCTTCCCAAGTAGGACAAGCACAAATAAGCCCAGACTGCAAGGACTATAGTAAATACCTAACTCTTCAATGCCTGACGAACATCTACAATCATCAACACCACCAATGGAAAACATGACCTCAGCAAACAAACTAAATAAGGTGCCAGACATCAATCCTGGAGAAACACAAATATGAGACCTTTCAAAACAGCTGTGTTGAAGAAACTCAAAGAAATTCAAAATAACACAGAGAAGGAATTCAGAATTACATCAGATAAATTTAACAAAGAGATTTAAATAGTTAAAAAGAATCAAGCCAAAGTACTAGAGGTAAAAAAAATCCAACTGACATATTGAAGAATGTATCACAGTCTTTTAATAGCAAAATTGATCAAGCAGAAGAAAGAATTAGTGACACTGAAGATAGGCTATTCGAAAACACACAGAGGAGAAAAAAATTTTTTAAAAAGCATGCTTACAATATCTAGAAAACAGCTTCAAAAGGGCAAATCTAAGAGTTACCGGTCTTAAAGAGGAAGTAAAGAGATTGAGGTAGGCCGGGCACGGTGGCTCAAGCCTGTAATCCCAGCACTGTGGGAGGCCGAGACGGGCGGATCACGAGGTCAGGAGATCGAGACCATCCTGGCTAACACGGTGAAACCCCGTCTCTATTAAAAAATACAAAAAACTAGCCAGGCGAGGTGGCGGCGCCTGTAGTCCCAGCTACTGGGGAGGATGAGGCAGGAGAATGGCGCAAACCCAGGAGGCGGAGCTTGCAGTGAGCTGAGATCTGGCCACTGCACTCCAGCCTGGGCGGCAGAGCGAGACTCCGTCTCAAAAAAAAAAAAAGAGATTGAGGTAGACACTTTATTGAAAGGGATAATAAGAGAGAACTTCCCAAGCCTAGGGGAAAATATCAATATCCAAGTATGAGAAGGTTATAGAAGACCAAGCAGATTTAACCCAAAGAATACTACCTCCAGGCAGTTAATAATCAAACCTTCAAAGGTCAAAGATTTAAAAAAAAAAAAAAAAAAGCCTAAAAGCAGCAAGAGAAAAGAAACAAATAACATACAATGGAGCTTCAATACATTTGGCAGCACACTTTCCGGTGGAAACCCTATTGGCTAGTAGAGAATGGCATGATGTCCAAAGTGCTGAAGGGGAAAAAAAAAAAAAAAATTTTATCCTAGAATAGTATAATCAGGAAAAATATCCTTCAACGTAAGGAGAAATAAAGATTTTCCCAGACAAACAAAAGCTGAAGGACTTCATCAAAATCAGACCTCTCCTACTAAAAAATGCTAAAGGGAATACTTCAATCAAAAAGAAAAGGATATTAATGAGCAATAAGAAATCACCTGAAGGCACAAAACTTACTGGAAAGAGTAAGTACATAGAAAAAAAACCAGAATATTATAACACTACAACTGTGGTATGTAAGTTACTCTTAAGTAAAAACACTAAAAGATAAACCAATAAAAAATAATAGCTACAACTTTTCAAGACACAGACACTACAAATAAGATATAAATAAAAACAACGAAAAGCTAAAAAGTGAAAGACAAAGGTATAGAGGTTTTATTAATTTTCTTTTTGCTTATTTGTTTATGCAAACAGTGATAAGTTGTTATCAGCTTAAAATAATGGTTTATAAGATAATATTTGCAAGTCTCATGGCAACCTCAAATCAAAAAATCATAAAACAGATATAGGAAAAATAGAAGACAAAAAATTAAATCATACCACCGAGATAATCACCTTCAAAAAAATGAAGACAGGAAGGAAGAAAAGAAGGAAGACAAGACCATAAAACGACCAGAAAATAAATAACAAAATAGCAAGAATAAGTCCTTACTTATCAATAATAATACTGAATGCAAATGGACTAATATCTCCAATCAAAAGACAGTGGCTGAATGGATAAGAAAACAAGGCCACGACCAGTTACCTACCAGAAACACACTTCACCTATAAAGACACACATAGACAGAAAATGAAGGGGTGGGAAAAATATTCCATGCCAATAGAAGGCAAAAAAGAACAGGAGTAGCTATACCTATATCAGACAAAATAGATTTCAAGACAAAAACTGTAAGAAGAGACAAGGCAGGGGTGGAGCAAGATGGCCGAATAGGAACAGCTCCAGTCTTCAACTCCCAGCGTGAGCGACACAGAAGACAGGTGATTTCTGCATTTTCAACTGAGGTACTGGGTTCATCTCACTAGGGAGTGCTGGACAATCGGTGCTGGTCAGCTGCTGCAGCCCAACCAGCCAGAGCTGAAGAAGGGCGAGGCATCGCCTCACCTTGGAAGCGCAAGGGGGAAGGGAATCCCTTTTCCTAGCCAAGGGAACTGAGACACACAACACCTGGAAAATCGGGTAACTCCCACCCCAATACTGCACTCTACCAAGGATCCTAGCAAATGGGCACACCAGGAGATTATATCCCACCCCTGGCCGGGAGGGACCCACGCCCATGGAGCCTCCCTCATTACTAGCATAGCAGTCTGCGATCTACCGGCAAGGCAGCAGGGAGGCTGAGAGAGGGGCGCCCGCCATTGCTGAGGATTAAGTAGATAAACAAAGCGGCTGGGTGGAGCTCACAGCAGCTCAAGGAGTCCTGCCTGTCTCTGTAGACTCCACCTCTGGGGACAGGGCACAGCTAAACAACAACAACAAAAAAAAAGCAGCTGAAACCTCTGCGCACGCAAACAACTCTGTCTCATAGCTTTGAAGAGACCAGTGGATCTCCCAACACGGAGGTTGAGATCTGAGAATGGACAGACTGCCTGCTCAAGTGGGTCCCTGACCCCTGAGCAGCCTAACTGGGAGACATCCCCCACTAGGGGCAGACCGACACCCCACACCTCACACAGTGGAGTACACCCCAAAAAGGAAGCTTCCAAAGCAAGAATCAGACAGCTACACTTGCTGTTCAGCAGTATGCTATCTTCTGCAGCCTCTGCTGCTGATACCCAGGCAAACAGGGTCTGAAGTGGACCTCAAGCAATCTCCAACAGACCTACAGCTGAGGGTCCTAACTGTTAGAAGGAAAACTAACAAACAGAAAGATACCCACACCAAAACCCCATCAGTACGTCACCATCATAAAAGACCAGAGGCAGATAAAACCACAAAGATGGGGAAAAAGCAGGGCAGAAAAGCTGGAAATTCAAAAAATAAGAGTGCATCGCCCCCTGCAAAGGAACACAGCTCATCGCCAGCAATGGATCAAAGCTGGACAGAGAATGACTTTGACAAGATGAGAGAAGAAGGCTCCAGTCCATCAAACTTCTCAGAGCTAAAGGAGGAATTACGTACGCAAGCAAAGAAACTAAAAATCTTGAAAAAAGAGGGGAAGAATTGATACCTAGAATAATCAATGCAGAGAAGGCCATAAACGAATTGACAGAGATGAAAACCATGACACGAGAAATACGTGACAAATGCACAAGCTTCAGTAACCGACTCGATCAACTGGAAGAAAGAGTATCGGCGATTGAGGATCAAATGAATGAAATGAAGCGAGAAGAGAAACCAAAAGAAAAAAGAAGAAAAACAAATGAACAAAGGCTGCAAGAAGTATGGGATTATGTGAAAAGACTGAATCTACGTCTGATTGGGGTGCCTGAAAGTGAGGGGGAAAATGGAACCAAGTTGGAAAACACTCTTCAGGATATCATCCAGGAGAACTTCCCCAACCTAGTAGGGCAGGCCAACATTCAAATTCAGGAAATACAGAGAAGGCTACAAAGATACTCCTCGAGAAAGAGCAACTCCAAGACACATAATTGCCAGATTCACCAAAGTTGAAATGAAGGAAAAAATCTTAAGGGCAGCCAGAGAGAAAGGTCGGGTTACCCACAAAGGGAAGCCCATCAGACTAACAGCAGATCTCTCGGCAGAAACTCTACAAGCCAGAAGAGAGTGGGGACCAATATTCAACATTCTTAAAGAAAAGAATTTTCAATCCAGAATGTCATATCCAGCCAAACTAAGTTTCATAAGTGAAGGAGAAATAAAATCCTTTACAGATAAGCAAATGCTTAGAGATTTTGTCACCACTAGGCCTGTCTTACAAGAGACCCTGAAGGAAGCACTAAACATGGAAAGGAACAACCGGTACCAGCCATTGCAAAAACATGCCAAAATCTAAAGACCATCGAGGCTAGGAAGAAACTGCATCAACTAACGAGCAAAATAATCAGTTAATATCATAATGGCAGAATCAAGTTCACACATAACAATATTAACCTTAAATGTAAATGGACTAAATGCTCCAATTAAAAGACACAGACTGGCAAACTGAATAAAGAGTCAAGACCCATCAGTCTGCTGTATT